TATGCTAAACCCTACAGGTGGATTAAATTCCGGCATAGTAATAATGTGATGAACGAACGCTAACTTCGGTGATATAATAATAAATTAATTAATTCTTGATTGTCACTATCGAATTAATTAATGGACATTATATCTTAAAAATGGATAGATAAATCGAGTAATTATTATTGGAGTCTCAATTGCAAATTGGACTAGGAAAAGGGAGTGCAATAATATTATGTTGGTGGCCCATTTAATATTATTTAATTAATTAAAATAAGTGGCTTGGTCCACAAGTATTTTAATTAATTAAAGAGCCCTAATCCTAATCTCCTAAGGATCTGTACTATAGCTCTATATATACATCATTAAGCTCATGGGAAAAGGAGAGAATTCCACATCTTGGAAATCACGCCCCACGCCTCTCTTCTCTCTCTCAGTTCTCATTCGAGCTTTATCTTCTTCTTGTTGTTTCACTGGTACAAGATTAAGAGGTGTTTGAGATATACAGTAGAAGACCTTTGGGTAAAGTGAGACGAAATATATTTGGTCGTACAGAACTAACCAGAGGTCCGATCAAGACGTGCAGTATACCCAGACAACCGTCTCGACGAGAGCTTTCCCACTCCGCCGAGATCGCCGCCATGCGACGCCGCACGCGCCCTCACACGCTTGCAGATTGTCCCAGGACTGTAACTTGTCTTCTTCCGTTTTTGCACCCGTTTGATCCGGTTTTCGGTCCGATCTTGTTCGTGCAATCCTAGGAAGCAATTTGCAGTCAACAATTCATTGGTGTGTTGTGTATGGCCATCCAGAAGATCAGCCAGATCGCCATAAATTTTTAGCCGTAAGTTCTCTACGCAAACCTTTAGATCCGCTGCGCATAGGTTTACGTTTTGCTATTGAATTCGTGATTTGTGCATAACGAGATCTTTATTGATCCCAACAAGTGGTATCAGAGCTTGGTTTAATTCGTTGTGTACAAGTTCGAATTTTTACGGCTTTATTTGTCAAGATGTGTTCAAACGCAACCATCTATTGGATTATATTCGCATAACTCGATTTTGTAGGAATTAGTTTAATCCAC